TTGGTGCACTTTACTGTATCAACAGAATTTTTTGTCAGGGTTTGGCTTAAAAAGGTAAAATTAGAATGAGAGACATTTACTCAGCCGGCGGATCCTATTACCTTGAAAATAAAACGTGGTGCATTTATCTAATACTCTTGTATTTATTCTGTAATGAATTATTCAGAACAAAATACGGTGATGGGAGAGATGTGCTGCATTCAGACCTTTTTGCATCGTGTTGAATAATAAACTTCATGATGCTCGTTGGTGTATGGTAGGCTCAAGTTTAAAAAAGAAGAGGTTTGAACATGGTCTTCTATTAGACGTGGCAATAAGCCTAAACTGGATAAGTGACCGCCGGCTCTTTGTTGGTTTGTTGGGTGACCATGATGAGCAGACAATAGAAGATTAGGCTCCGGAGTGAACAAACTAAACGTGTTGAGAGACGGATGTAGCCTTTCACAGCTCCTTATGGCCGTCTGACGCTTGACAGGGACTGTGAAAGAACAGATGAACTAATAATATTTAAACTTCTGAAGACTTATAAAGCAAACATGAACCTTGATCTTCTAAACTATTTTATACTTTGAGAAACGTTCAGTCTACTTGATGGCAGTGGCTGTAGTGACAAACACCTCAGAGGGACACAAAGGATTCAGGCGGGGCTAACAACGGTGCTAAACAATAATATTAAGAGCCAACATGCTCATTTAAAAAATGGGACAGTCAACTGCTGCCAAACTCATTATCCTCGTTTCATTAACAAATGTTCATACTGATGGCTGTAGACAGGAAGGATCTCTTGTAAAGGTCCATCCCACAGTGGATCCTAAGAAACTGGCTGCAGATGCCATCTGATCCATCCACCCAGACTCAGCTGGCCTCTCGGTTCCTCTGGGCTGCAGGACCGCCTGAATGCCGGGCAGAACTCCTCCCAGAGCGATGGCCACGCCTCCCAGCAGCCTGCTGAGCTCCTCATCGCTGCGGACAGCCGGCTGCAGGTGTCGGGGGACGATCCTGTCCTTCTGCTGTCACAAGCCACGTTTCCTGTCATGTCCAGGATCTCAGTGGTCAGGCACTCGAGCACAGCCGGCATGGAGACGGGAATGCATCCACGGTGCCTCCTTTTCAACTCTTTTGAGATTTAGGGCTGTAGTTGAGATATTATTTGAGCTTTTGAGATGTTAATCAGCTGCTCCCGGTTGTTAAAAAAACAAAACCAAACAAAAAAAAAACAACTTGTTACAGTTACGCATCATAACAAATGTCTAAAACTAAAAAAAAGTTTCAGTAAAATTCCTTCCAGCTGCACAGCATCTGATACCAGAGGAAACAATCTGGAAACTGATTTACATCCCAAAAAAAAAAAAAGGAATTAAAAAGTTTCCAAAAGCAAAACCTCAGAATGAAAGTAACAGAGCTGCTCCGACATGAGAGGCACAGTTCTAGAATTATTAAGCCAAAGTGGAAGTAATCAAGTGGAAAATGCAAAAAGCATGGCTGCATTATATTTTTTTTAATCTCTCATAAAAATGAAAAGTCTTTTTTTTCATTTTGGATTTTTAATTAAAAAAAAACCCAGCTGAACAAATGGTACAAAGACCCCACCCCCTTCACAAGAGTTTGTATTTGTATCCCGTTACTACACATTGATCTGTTTTATGTTGTTAACAAAGTAAAATAAAATAAAAAAACATCACTTATGGTTTGGTTTTTAACTTTAAATTCAGTTTTTTCAAATGTTCATTGACACCTCAGGGCCACCGTACAACAGCACCGCTTCATCTGCATAGAACTGAGTGATCATAACTCTAAGGTCAAATCCAAACCCTGCAGTGGCGACACGGTAAAAATCAACAAAAGAACGACTCTGTGAATACAGCAGCTTTAAACTGAATGTCATGTTTGAACCCGGTCAGGTCTGCTGAGCGCTACGTGTTTCATGAGCTGTGCATTTCTGAGACGTGGGGGCAAAAACTTAAACGAGGACAGCGTCACCAGAAGTGTGCATCAGCCCGAAAAGCCAACAAGGTCAGAATCAATTTACTTCCTGCTTTTTACCGTTTGCACACCTCTTTCCAGCTTGGACATAAATTCAACGGCAGCCCCTTCAGTTTCTGCTGAGTGGATTCGTACGAGCCTGAAAGGTGCCACAGTCGTGCTGACGCTTCAGAAAAACTCTGTGGGATCACCAGAATTATTTGAGCTCCTCGTCTGGGAGTCAGAACCGTTTGTTTCCGTCCAGCTAAGATTTATGGACAGCTCAGGAGCCGGACGTCAGACTCTGCTCTCCAATACGGCAGCACATAAAAAAAACAACTGAAAAATGTATTTTATTTTGGAAATGTTTGGTTTTATTTTATATTTTAGGGGCAAACTGTACATATGGCTGGGCACAGACACAAATCAACAAAGGCAACAAATGACTTCTTGGCATAAAAGTGTGACAAATGCCCACAACATGGATACCTTTGGGATAAAGTCTTACTAAACTAATGGAGGGAACCAAAACAAAACTGTTGCTCCACAAAAGAATAAAAAAATTAAAAAAAATTACAGCAACACCCATCTTCATCAAACCCTCTTAACGAATCTCCTGTAAATAACGTTAATGATTACACCGACTGTTCGGTGCCAGCTAGAAGCACCTGAATGAGCTTTAAAAATAAAGGGATCAGTAACATCTGGAGATGATGCAATGTTTGATAAATCTCCATGACAGAACAGTAAAAGGACAAATAAACTGTGTACGGGTGGTTAATACAAATGTAAACATTTAATTTCGTGACCAAAGGGCTCAAAATGATCCATCTGGAGTATGAAATAATAAATGCATTCCCTTTAGCCGTGTTACACTATCCCTGAGAACCTTATTCAGAACGAAAGAAACTGAAGATTTGAACAATTCGTCACGAGCGCAGCAACGGAGAGGACTTGAAATATTAAGACAGGCCCCAACAGAGAATTCAAAGAAAAGAAGATGGGCCCCAAATCAATGGCATTATGCTGGGAGAGGTGGGAGACCAGTGTCCAGAGCGAAGCCGCTTCACACCCGAGTCGAGCGGAGCGGGCGCTCTGAAACTAAAGTTCTGGATCAGTGTCAGAGGTCTGAACCGGTCCAGTTCAGTGAGAACAGATGAAAACGTGAGAAAAGTTCGACATCAACGTACATTCACCTTTCAAACTTGTTTCACACGCGTCGTGCCTCGATGTAAATGAGCTTCCTCTTATTGAAACATTAACGAGACCCATTATGAATTCATATGAACGGAGGTTTGGTTCAGGTCATGGAGGCACCAGGCCCGATTCCCTCCCACTGGACTTATTTAAGTTTTTCAGTTCAAGATATGTAATGATTTTATGTTTAAGGTCACAACTTTAAGATCATACAGAAACTGACTCTTCACTTACATTATCGTCCCTTTCACGTGATTAGATCGTTGCAGTAGCTTCTGACCCACTGCAGAGCTTTACATTCTGTTTGACAGATTTTAAAGGGATAATTCACGTCATTGGAGTTCTGTGAAAAGGCTACAAACGGTTCAGTTTTGTTGTACATGTCTTCAAACAATCTTAATATGAAACAAGCGGTACGCCGTCGCTGAGGGATTTGAGTAGTGGATGTTCGTAGTTTTGGAGATTAGTGTTTTTTCTGGACTGGAATTGAACGCGTAACAAGTAAACCTAAATGTTTTTGGTGTGGAATATTCAAGTAGGTAATACTTTTTTGTTTTTTGTCAGAGGCAGTGCAGTAATGAGTTCCTGGCGAGCGAAGGGTGCAATTTTATTTAACATCAAGTGCAATGGTGGAGCCAGGGGGTGGCCAATGGTGGCCTTGGTCACGCTTTGGCCACCCTAAGGGCAGCCCCATTTGTTTGAGTAAACTATACTTTTGAGCAAGATTAAAAACTAGAAAGCACAGTTTCCTCAAATGATACGGGTGTTCAGTTTACACACAATAATGTGTATGCGTGTATATATATATATATATATATATATATATATATATATATATAAACACACACATTTAAATGTGTGTGCGCACACTGGTAGCCATCTTGGATTTTTGATCGAGCAACCAAATTTTCGATGGTGACCTTTCTTTTGTCTTGATGCAGCCACACACCAAAACTGACGTTGCCATGTCGCTTATTTTTCAAGTTATCCAGTTCACAACATGAACGAACATATATGGTGGCAGCCATCTTTGATTTGGAGATGGTAACCTAATTTTTGAAAAAGAGCCTTTTTTTTTTTTTACACTTAAATGTAGTCATACTTCAAAATGAACATGGGTACCTCACTTATTTTTCTAGTCATCATGCTAAAAACATGCATGAACGAACAGACGGTCGGAGGGCACTTCCATTTTCCTCTTCACTTTGTGACTAGGGACAAAAATATATAAATTTTGACCAGCTGGGCGAGCTAACGGTTAGTCTGACACAGAAACAAAGAGGATTGTAGATGTTTAAAATGTTTGAATGCATCACGGTAACATTTTTAAGAACAAAGTCGTATTAAAACACCATAATCCACGTTGATCGTGGCCAGTAGCTCACCACTCTGCTCAGATGGAAACCATTTCTCCTGAGGTTGTTCACAGAGCCATCTACAACAGGTAAGATGCACATTGTTCATAACCTGTCCACAGAACCCCACTTCAAAACAGCTGAACAGGATGGAAAGAAGAGGTAAACGTAAAAGTTATTCTTAATCTGGGACTAACAGTAATGTGGTGGATGGCAGAAAGTCTCTGAAATGAAACAAAAACATCCTGAAGAGGGAGCGCTAACGTAACACGACGGGAGAAGAACCCTTCGTGTCGTTGGCGTGCAGCCTCCGTTTAAATGTTACAAGGCTCACCGCCACCAGCCCGTTCAGGTCACACAGACCCCCCCGCCCCCACTGGCTCAGCAGGGGCCACTATTGCATAGATACATTAGAGGGTGTAGCTTTGAACATATTTAGTCACAGTGATTGGGAGGAAAAAACAATTATTGTCAATTTTTGTGCCCATCAGAATATCCATAAAAACAAGAACGTCTCAAGTGGATGTTCAGGCGGCGAGTGATCCTCTGGCGTCACCACCAACACGATCTCCACTGTATACAAAAAAATAGCCTTTTGCTGAGGTCGTCGAGTCTCCCACTTCAGTGCTGATCTGGCCTTAGCCAGGTTCAAAGGTCACAGTGCCCCCCCCCCCCCCCCACCACCTCCGATTCCCTCAGAGCTCCTCCTTCCTCTTGACGACCTTCTCCTGGTCACGGCCTCTCAGGTTGCGCATGAATCCAGTGAAGCCTGCCTCCTGCAACGAAACGGAGCGTTAGAATCACACTTTTCACAACTTGAAGCAATTCACTGCTGCTGAAGGTTCTTCTCTAATTCATCGAGCCGTCGGCGGACATCGTGTCACGGTGGCCTGACAGAACCGGAGAGAACCCAAAAACTGGTGCCGAGTTGGGGATCACTCAGCGTCGGTATGAGCCGTACGTCGTCATTGTAGGATGCTGAGTGCGTCATATTTCAGAGACGTTTGGCTGAACTGTCCACATGACTTAGAATTTGTTTTAAATAATTCATATGGCTTTATATTTCATGTCAGCAGGGATTCCATTTTATTTTTTCCACAGGAAACGGTTTAGATGTGGAACACAACCTGAACGAGGCAAACTTCTCACCAAAGTCCTTCTGAGATGTTTAAGAAACTGAACGCCCCGATGGGAAAGAAAGTACAAATGTGGCCCAGTTTTACCTTATTCATGCAAAAATGCACGAGTCCATCTATGTCCGTGGAATTGTTTTTATGATAACTTGAGTTTATCGAGTTATTTTCTGTACAATTATTCTCTCTCAATTTGCTTTATTTTATAAAACCTTAACAACTCTAAAAGGTCTTATTTAAATCCTGATATTAGAGCAATAGATACCACTTTACAATACGGCTCCCCTTTTAGATGGCTAATAAATAGTTAATAGATGCGCTATTAACTCCTCTATAAACACTTTATAAATCATTAAAAATAGTTTATTATGCATTAATTATTGAGAAAGAGACAAACTGACCAGTTTCTTCCTAAATCAGCCAAATCTGCCACCTATACATTTTATCTAGAGTTGTTATATTAAACATTTCACACTAAGTTACGACCTTGTGAGCACTAAGTATTTGTAAACCTAATTTGTTAGGATATAATAGGTTTAGATACTTATAATGCAGTGATAAAATACAATATTATATGCTAAAGAAACAGGTTTACAAATGCTTAGTCTATAACTTAGTCTGACATGTTTAATATAACAACTCCAGAAGAAATGTATAGGTGAACAGATTTGGTTCACTGGTCTCTTTAGTCTCTCTGTCACCCTTAAAGAATGCATAATAAGCAGTTATTAATGCTTTAAAGTGTTTATAGAGGAATTAATAACATATATAAACTATTTATTAGCCATCTATAAGAGGAGCCTGGGGATCCTTATTGTAAAGTGGTACAGAGCAATAGCTTAAATCTATTGAAATACGTGTCTGTAGAAAGGTTTTTTCCTCATTCAACCTTTATTTATACAGGTTGGTCTCATTGAGCCTCGAGGACTCGTTTGCGTGAGTCGTTTGCAGAAACAGACTCCGTTTGACGGGACTGATGAGTTAATAGTTAGCTTGAGTGGGGAGGATGGTTGCCAGTTTAAAACTCCCATCTCAGTTTATGCACACTTTAAAAAAAAACAAAAAACTTTACATTTCAGCCAAATTCACGTTACATAGTTCTTTACGTTGAATTCGGGGATATTTGCAAGCAGAAATGGCAGAAGCCTGCTGTAGCACTTTGGGTGCAGCCTGGGGCACTTCCAGCAGAAGCATCATGACATTTCTGCCAAAATAACGGTGTAATGTGAAACTGAGGAGAGACGTAAAGGTTCATCACGTAACGTTTGCTTGCACTGCCATGGACCTTTTGAGATTGGACTAGTTTTAAGACGGGGCTAATCCACTTTGGTCAAGGCTCTGTCATTAGTTTATCAATTTAGATAGAATAAAACTAGTTTTGCAAACAGATGTGGGTCAAACATTATCTATATCGGGTATTATTGTTCATTCAAAAATGGCTAAGTTGTTCCTTTCTATCAGGGCACTAAGCTCAATAGGTTTGAGGCAGTTTGAAATGGCCAAATCAAAGCCTTTTAAAATATATGACAAGTGAAAAGGAGCTCATTTCAACCGTCGGAAAGTTCAGAAACATAATGAGTACCATCTTATTGTACTGGGACAAGTAGGAAGTTAACAAAAAATACTTCTGGGTTATCCTCAAAGGAGTGCCTAATTTGAACAAGGCTGGTCATTCATGAGATTTTACACTTCCTTTCTAAATGTATAACAATCTCTTATTATTGTTGGAGTGTATTTTTAATCATAAATCTTTGTTTAAATTTGACAAAAGTTTAGAGGTTAGAAACTGGTGCTATTTTCCATTTGGTTTTAACTAGAGCCCGACTGATATATCAGTGGAGCTGATAACTTAGGCCGATATAGACGTTTGGTGACTTATATCTGTGATAATTGTCCCATTATGCACCAGTATAAGCACTTCTAATTTTCACCCCTAAACTGCTGGAAACAGCTGTAATTGTACCAGAGGGCGCATGAAGACTATTTCCAAGTCATGGCCGTTCACTTAAGTTGCACTTTCACATGCAGCACAGACGAAGTGGGGAGCAACACTGTGTAGCATATTTTGCTGAAGAGAGCAGGGGAAGTTTATTTAACTGGTCTGTAAAATTAAGAAAAATCAACAATAATAAATTATCTTGAATCCTCTAACCTCCTTGTCATTAGCTACGTGCCTCTCAAGTTAGTAAGCTAACGTTTGGATAACCTAGCATAGGCTATTGCCTTGTAAAACTTTATCTAGAACAATAAATCTAACAAAGCAGTTAAAATATATCAGTGTTAGTAACTTTATATTTGTCATCCTCAGTGAAATGCATTGTTTGTCTGAAATCTTTACTTCTCTACAAAGAAAAAACACTCTGCTGCAGTCGATGCTAATTAGACCTTCACCATACATGACTGACTGTTTAAACAATGAACAGGGAAGAACGTTTCTTTAATTTATATTTATGCAACACATTTGATAACTTTATGGTGAATATTGGAGGATAGAAAATGTGAACACGTTAGAAAGACTTTTTATGATCAGTGCATCACATGCAAACCTCCTGCGGGTCTAGTTAAAGCACGGATCTGATTTGCTTCTTGGTTGCAAACAGCTGCACTAAATTAACAAACCTCGCTCCACTCGCCGTTTTCTTAGATTCCTGGGGGTGGACAAAGCTCAGAAAGTTTCAGCCATTAAATCGGTTATCTGCATATGCATGTTCCGACCAATATTGGTATTGGCAATAGCCAAAATTTCTATATCGGTCGGGTTCTAGTTATAACTGTCTTTTTGTTTTCATAGGGCCTCACCTCAGATCAAGGCAAGAGTGAGAAACGAGATGCAAAAAACATCTTTATAAGGAGTTTTGAACTGCATCAAATTGTATGTTGAACTCAGGTGCCCTAAATTGTCATCAAGAGGCAGCACCTATCCCAACTCGAGACAGAGTGCAGTAGCTATGTTGAGACTTGGTCCCATATCCATCAGAATAAATTAAATAAAATTTGTGATTAAACTTGATGACTTTCTTAAAGACCCAAATCTGGGGGGCTCAAAATCTGAGCTTCGCTTTAAATGTAAATAAGATAATTCCACACTTTGAATTGCAAAGAAAAAAAAACTAGAAAAAGTAGCCAGCGGAAAAAGGAGACGGTGTTTCTACTCTACATAGATAAAAAAAAAGCTTCACATTTCTTTCTCTGAGCATTTTTATAAATGTAGACACAAATTTTTAACCTGGTAAATCATGACTGCACGAGTCTCAAAAGGTCTTTGGTATTGCAGAGGACACAGTGCACCATGGGAAATTTCTACAAGAATCAGCATTTCATCAAAAACCAAAGACCAGCGTTCGATGCTGGTGAGGCCTCAATAAAACTGAAACACTCCCAGACTCAGAGTAGTGGAGACATTACTTCCAGATGTTGCAGATGCATGTCCAGATTTAAAGACGGCTCGTGCTTAACTATCACTGTGCGCTTAATTGTCTCTCTGGCTGAGGACTGGATCGGAACAGTTCAACGCACTGGTTTACATTGTTTCAGATGTCAAAACCTACAAACTGGTCGGTCCACCAGTTGCCACTTTGGCCCTGACTGAGGAGGAGGCTGCTGTAAGTTGCTCTACTACAGATTCAGGTTGCCTTAAGTTATGATTCACCATATTCACTCATTTTAACTTGACGTGTGCACTGTGAGGATCAGGGTTGATTTTTCATCACAAACTCTGGAGTGTAACTAGCAACCTCAGCAACCTGCATCAAGAGATAATAACGCATCTAGAGGGTAGAATTAAAAAAAAGAAAACGTGCGAATAAAACGTTTAGGAGCGTATTCTGAAATGTCTTCTCTGTTCCAAATACAAGAAAGCAGACATTAAAAACCAAGATGTAGACTTGCACATCAGTCAGCTTCCAACAAAGCCAACCCCCCCCCCCCCCCCACCCCCCATTCTCTGGGGGATTTAAAAAGTGAATGTTTGTAGTTTTCAAGATGTTTTGAAGTGAACAGAGAACGAAATCAACCTTAATGTTTTGGTGCAAGATATTCAAGTGGAGGAGTTGCATTATGTGGAGGTTTATTCATTTTTTTGCTTGTTTAAGTTCAAGTTTCTTTATCGTCATTCACATCACATGTGGTACATGAGGTGGAATGAAATTGTGTACACAGGGTCCCAGTTACACCCAAAAATAGCAAAATTATAAAGTATAAAAAGAGACCATATATAAGGATATAAGAAAAACACTAAACACTACTAATGTAAAATAATACGGTGTATTAAGCAGCAGCACAGAGTGACGGATCCTGACGAGTGGAGGGAGCAATTTTATCCATAGCCTGGCAAAATGGCGGAGCCTGGGGGGTGGGGGGAAATGGTGGCCTTGGCCACCATACATTAATGTTCGGCCACCCATTTAAGGAAATTACACTTGGAAGCAATATAAAAACCAGACAGCATAGTTTACTCAAAGGATAGGAGTGGTCAGTTTACATATGTAGTGGTGGCCATCTTGGATCTTGATGTACCAAACCAATTTTTAATAGTGACTTTTCTTATGACTCAACCATTTCTCTTTACAATTCCCCTCTTTGCTCCGTGACGAAGGACAAACAGATGTTGCAGATCATTCCTTGACCCACTCTGAACTGTTGGCTGATGCCCAGGAGCAAACGAAGGCAAGATGGACATTGTCATTGCCAACTTGCTCAGTAGTTTGGAGTGTGTCATATTATGTGTCGTTGCGTGTCATGTCGTGTTATGTGTCATGTTATGTCATGTTATACGTCATGTTATGTGTCATGTGTCATGTCATGTGTCATGTCATGTGTCATGTCATGTGTCATGT